CCCTTAACCCCCCATGTTGCATCTCCTCTCCCTCATATCAGGGAGATCATATGATAGTTGTCTTTCTCCGATTGACTTATTTCGCTAAGCATGATACCCTCTAGTTCCATCCACGTCGTCGCAAATGGCAAGATTTCATTTCTTTTGATGGCTGCATAGTATTCCATTGTGTATATATACCACATCTTCTTTATCCATTCGTCTGTTGATGGACATCTAGGTTCTTTCCATAGTTTGGCTATTGTAGACATTGCTGCTATAAACATTCGGGTGCATGTGCCCCTTCGGATCACTCTGTCAGTGTTTTAAAGGGGGAATGTACGGGTGTCTGGCTGGCTCGGTCAGTGGAGCATGGGACTCTAGATCTCAGGATTGTGGGTTCAAGTCCCATGTTGGGTGTAGAGATTACTTAAAAATAAAAGCTTAAAAATAAGTAAAGAGGGACTGTAAAACATTCTGAGTGCATCATTGAGTGCTCGTTAAAAACGTATCGAGATATTCACAAAGTAAAAAGTTAAAATTCCCCTTTAATCTATCCTCCCTCCAGGGAGAATGCTATTAACATTTGCTGTGTATCTTTCCAGACTCTCCTATGCATTTATCTATATATGTGCATTGCTTCAGTCGTATGATGTGCTGGGCATTGCACTAAAGGCTTTGATGTGAATTATCTTGTTTAATTCTCACAAGTCTATGGGATAATACTACTATTATCTCCATTTTACAGATGAGTAAACTGAGGCTCAGAAAGAGTCAGTAATTTGCCCTAGGTCACATAGTGACTAATTTGTTCTTCCTCCTGAGAGAGCTGTCTTACTAATGCATAGGAATCAAGTTAATCGTTTGGCTCCATCCATTTATTCAGCAAATATTTATTGAACGTCCGCTCTTTACCGGGCATTGTATGTACTGCCAGGTATTCAAACACATGGCCTCTGTCTTCAGGCACCTGGAAAAGGCAGGTCAATCTGTGAGCTAAAAGATTTTCCCCAATTCATCCAGTTAGTAAGTGGGTAGAGCAGGATTACAATTCGGATTTGAATTAACAAATTGTTATATGACAGGTCTAGCTGCCGAAAGGCTGTGGTAGATTGTTTTATACGGGAAACCACCTTGAATATTTGTTGTTCCCATGAGAAGAGGAGTTTGGAGCCCCCAGAAATCAGTGTTATGAGTAAAACACAGTTTGTAAATTGGAGATTATAGATAGAAGTTCTAAAAAGTTCTAAATTTTATATATATATATAATATATATAAATAAATATATATAAATAATAATTATATATAAGTATCATAACTATAGATAGATCTATAGATATGATACTTGAACAACACAAGAGTTAGGGGTGCTGACCCCTTACACTGTTGAAAATCCATGCATAACTTTTGACTCCCCCAAAACTTAACTACTAATAGTCTACTGTTGACTAGAAGCTTTACCAATAACACAATTAATACATATTTTGTATGTTCTGTGTCGTGTGTGTGTGTGTGTGTTTTTATTTTTAAGGCAAACGCCGTTCTACTGCAATCAGGGGAGAAGGTTAAACAAGATTCAGGATTCCTTGAGTGGGAGGACTGGTAGTAAAGACTTTAGATCCACGAAAGAACTGGGTTAGAATGTTGACAATGTCAGCTTAAACAAGAACTTGCAATAGAAAAGAGAATCAAGGGACGCCTGGGTGGCTCAGTGGGTTAAGCCTCTGCCTTCGGCTTAGGTCATGATCTCAGGGTCCTGGGATCGAGCCCCGCATCAGGCTCTCTGCTCAGCGGGGAGCCTGCTTCCTCCTTCTCTCTGCTTGCCTCTCTGCCTGCTTGTGATCTTTCTCTGTCAAATAAATAAATAAAATCTTTAAAAAAAAAAAAAAGAAAAGAAAAGAGAATCAAAAGTCCAGAAAGGAAAAAAAAAAAAAAAGTCTTGAAAAGTTGCGTGTAAAGAGTTATTATGAGAAAAATAATCGCAACGTAAAAATCACAGAATTGGATTGTAATGGTTAAACAATATTAAAGTCTGTACGCTGAGACAGAACCAAGAGCTTGCCTATTATGCAACACGTTCCACAAGGCTGGCCAATTTCGAAGTACATTATGGAGGGCTGAAGGGAAATGCCTTTCCTGAGGTGGGGGTGGAGAGCCCCAGCCACGTGAGCACCTGACCTCCAAATGCATTATTGCCAAAGGCCTTTAGAGCCAGTTGGCAACATGTGCAGGGACAGAAGAATCAGGAGATTATTCTTATAAACATGGTATGGGAATCTTATGGAAGGGAGCAAAAAGGAAGCCTTGACTGGCATCCTTACAAGAGGGCTGTATATTCTTTGTGACAGCAGAAACCTTTAAATATACAAACACATGGAATGTGGCAGCCTTGATGGGGAGGATTAAATATTTCGATGGAAAAAAAAGAATACAAAAATGAGGAGGAGAAAGGAAAATCTTGAGTTTCTTAAATTGTTTGCAAAGAAACTGGAGTCTGTGACGGAATTTGGTCCTCATGACTGAAATGTTTCCTTGGTGTTGGAAAAAGTATTGCTGTCGTATCTCTCTTTAGAAATTCTTCTTCTTTTTTTTTCTCATAATAAAAATCCCGTGGCAGCTCCTTGTCTGGACGACTTTAAAAATAGGAGCGATTTCATCTGTCTGGAATGGTCTGTGTCAGCATTTGCCCTAGGCAAGGTTGCCACATAGGCAAAAACTCCCCCTTCCCTCCTCCCTCCCAGACGCCCCCTCCTCCACCGCCCCCCAAGGCCCTTCACGCCTTTGTGTTCCACCCCCAACTCTGTGTGGGCTGACCCCCCTTTCCAGGACCACAGCTCCAATGTGACCTCAAACATAAAAATCCAAGCCCCCCCCCCACCCCCCCCGGGCTCTGTCCAGGTGCTGGGGATGCAGTAGGTGTCGCCCCTGGTGGCCTCTTTGCATTTCAAAATAGGACCCTGGTTAACCCACGTGCCTGTTGAGTCGGTGCAGCTTTGGACGGTAAAACCAAGCGGAGCGAGGTCCAGGGGAGAAGGAAGGATTTGGTCACTGGGGGAAGAGGGTGGGGTAGGCCACCTTCCTGGAAGCTATTAAATCCCAGATGTGGGCTCCTGCTCAGCATGGCACTGCCTGGAGGGAGAAGGTAGGGGGTCGGAGGAGGGTAGCCAGACTCTCTGACCTCTCAAGGTTGCCGTGAGTTCTATGGGTCGGTGATTTCCAGCTACATTTCCCTTCGCCCGGCTTCCTGAGCAGCACCATGGGCACTGCGTGACTTGGCTTTAACTAGGGGTTTTCAGCGGCGTGTCTCTGCACCCATCCGCCAGGGCCCAATTTTCCCATCACAGTCCTCCTTGCAACAGCCACCCTCGGGTCCAGCTCTTATGGTGGCTGGAGATCAGTCAGATCTTCAAAGCTCCTGTTCTCAGAGAAACCTGGGCAAGGGGCTCTTTTGTGCTCGCAGTGTCTGCGGGCTTTAGGGGGGGAAACATGATGTGTGGCGTTATGGAAACGAATTGCTGGGAGATGTGGTGGGAAAGGCTGCAAAGTGAAGTCTGCTCAAGGAGCTCCCCTGAGTCACTGGGTCAATTTCACGTCAGAGCAACAGACATTCAAGAGTCCCTACTAGGTGCCGGCTCTGAGTTAGACGTGGTGAGTCACAGGAGAAATGAAGCGAGGTCCCTTCTCTGAAGGGACTCAGTCCAATGGGGAAGACAGACATCCTGGGTTGAGAGTACCACGTGTGAGGCAAGCGAGGGTGCTTGGGAGCACAGAGGTTGCCCTTGTCTCAACCTGTCACCGATAGGATCAGGGCAAATTCTCCAGGGAAGACAGCCCTTAAGCTGAGCAGGAGTAAGCCAAACCAAAGAAAGGTGGGAAGGATGGTCTGTGGAGAAGGAATGACAGGAGCAAAAGCGTGAGGCGAGAAACCACTTGACAGGTGTGGTTAACGGCAAGCGGGCTGCGATTATTAGAAAGGAAAGTGCCAGCAAGGGGGAGGGGCAAGAGGAGAGGCTGGAGGGGCGGGCAGGGCCAAGGGAGGGAGAGAGAGCCCAGCCTCCCGATGGAGAGCCTAGACTGTAAACTGAGGGGAGCCACAGAAGGATTTTTAAGCAGGTCAGATTTGCTTCTTGATTAAACTGTCTGTCAATTTGGGGGAAATCATTCAAATTGCCCGTGGGATGAATTGATTAAAGAATGCCACTGAAAGGGTAACACTGCCAATCTCACTGTAGTTCAGTGCGGGTTTGTCATGAGTCTGGGGCTTTTTGGAGGGGGGCGGGAGGGTTAAAACAAGCTACAGGTAGATGCATGTATTTATCTGTAAAACTTCGCGGTTTGAGAGGATGCAGGATGGCTGAAGGGTGCTTAGAGGAAACGGTGTCTGCCGAGAGGTGGGTGTCTCCCACCCTTTCTTCCACGTGGCCTGACATCTCAGGTTAGGAACACAGACTGTGCTATGATCTCTCTGTTTTGTTTAGCAAAAGTCATCCGGGAAGACGCTGTTTAATCTGAGTTGCAGCCACCTAAATCTCGCTGAAAAGGAGTATTTCGGATTAGAATTCTGTAGCCATTCTGGAAATAATGTAAGTTGGTTTCATTACAGGGTTTTTTGTGTGTAGCCTCTAAAATGCAGTTTGCGGCTAGGTATATAGGGCTCAAATCAGATTGAAAAAATGAAAAAGCGTTTGAACCCTTGCAAAATGCCTGGATTTAATAATGAAGTTTCCCCCTCCTCCCTCCTTGCCTATCTAAAATCACCTCAGTTTCCCAAACTCTTCTCCCCTCTATTCCTCTTTCATCACCCTGAGAACAGGAACCTCTGCTTTATCTGTTCTGATTTCCCAGAGGCTGGACCTCAGCCTCCACCATGAAGACTCCTAACTCACCAGTGAGTGTTCAGTGAATTCTTCTCTCCCCTCTCTCAGCTCCCCTCCTTCTCTGTGTTCTTCCTCCTGTGTCCTGCCTTGGCATATCTGTTATCTGGCACCTTCCCAGAAAGGTTCATTAGATCGATTAAGCTGGCATTTGGGGGATGTAGGATTCAAATGCAGAGCCAAATGCCTTCATTAGTCTTTGTAGTAACTAATGAGCCGTGGATGTGACACCTTTGTCACCCTACTTAGGCAGGGGAGCGATGATTCAAATGTCAACAACAAAGACTTTATAGATCAACAACGTTCACTGTCACTGGAAAAATACAAGGGGGCTGATTGAGTGTGGTGGAGATATGCCATCTCTTTGACACGGCTGTTTCTAACTTTCTTTAGAAGGGGGCCAAAATAGTTTGGTATTTGATTATTTTGTGCTGACTTCTGTTTGTTACCAAAAAAAAAAAAAAAGCTGTACTCAATGCCATGTTCTACCAATTTTTTTTCATTAATCTTATCACAGGTCTGGTTGGAACTGCTGAAGCCAATTACAAAGCAAGTGAAAAGTAAGTATGGGAAATCACCGAAGGCATCTAATTCCCAGTTACAACTTGAAAAGTTTTCAGTGACACCATGCTATTCCTCACCAAATATAAGCGGAGAAAAAGGGCTTCGAAGCATCATGTTAATCCTTCACAGGTCCAGTGAATTTAGCAATTTAAAAAATCACTGTAATGTTGTCCAAGATGAAGAAAAAATCATGCTGCTGGATCTTTGGGGAGATTGGAAGAATGCTGGTAATGACAGCATCCTGGGGATTGGCTCAGATCTTGGAGCATCCTTGACGTTCCCAGGGAAGGAAGAATTTCCTCTGCCTTTCAAGGTCCTTCTAGCCAGACTAAGAATCAAATTGACACAAGACAGATAAACAGGGGAAATTCAAATTTAATCTTATACATAGGGGGAGGCCACACAGACGTGGAAATTACAAGACAGTCAGACATCCTGAGCAGAGAAGGGAGTAGGGGTCTGGGACTTCAAAGCCAAAGAAAGCAATTCGCAGGAAAAAAGGAAAAGTAATTGTTTGGTAGACAAATGTTTGCTGGGCCACTCACAAACAATGGGAAAGGAGGACTTTGATCAAACAGGCCTTGGGAGGTCCCTCCCTGTCTACCACACCTAGTTCATATTATAATGTAGTTATCTAAGGTGATAGCTCTCTTCCTGGTACAGGTTCTCCTTTGCAATGTAGGTTTAGCCTGTTGGGGTTGGGCGGTAAGAGCGTTTCCTGAATTGACTGGGTTTTGATTGCTTTTAATTCAGAATATTCTTTTTAGAATAGATTTTATTTATTTGAGAGAGAGAGAGAGAATGAACAGGGGGAGAAGCAGAGGGAAAGGGACAAGAGGACTGACACGGGGCTCGATCCCAGGATCCCAAGATCATGACCTGAGCCAAAGACAGACCCTTCACTGACTGAGCCACCCAGGCGCTCCTTAATGCAACATAATCTTAATTCCCAACTGGCCCATTTTAGGCATTCTGACCTTGTTACTTATAATGCCATTCACCCTCGGCCTGAAGATGTTTTAGTTTTATCATGTTACAGACATTGTCCATTTGTTTCAGTTCACATTAGAGTGCCCGCAATATACGAAGCCTCCCCCCGAACCCTGCCCCTTTTTTCATCACCTAGTGCAGCGGTTCTGAGATTCCAGTGGGGAGTAGGAGCGCTTGTTCAAATGCAGATTCCCAGGCCCCATTCCCGGGTTGGGGGGCCAGCAACCTGCGTGTTAAATTCCACAGGTGTTTCTGATGCAGGGGGGTTTCAGTGAACACTTTTGAGAAACGCTGTCGTATGGTGTCCCCTGGCTCACCTGCCCTCTCCGTGTTAGTTCTGTCTACTCCCACCGCATCGTAATCATCTGTCACATTACTCCAACCGCTTCCTAACTGACTCTCCTGATCCGTCACCTACCCTACTTCCGAAGGGAACTACTGCAAATACAAAGGTGACCACATCACGCTCTGGCTCAACAGGTTTCCGTGGCTCCTTATTGCCCTTAGGATGGAGTCCGAACTTGTTCGCATGAGCAACGAAGCGCTCCTGCCGGTCCAGTTTTCCCTCTGCCACTGACCCATTCGAATTCCTAACTCTCCTGTCTGTGGCAAAACTAACTTCAGGTGTAGGGCTCTCGGAGAAAAGAAAACATGTCCACCTAAATTGGAATTTCAAATTTAGAAAGAAATAATTTCTCGGTGTAAGTATGTCCTTGTGTTATGATTATTTATCTCCAATTTCGATCTAACCGGAGCCCTCTGTCCTCCCTCTCGTGCTTGCTCGGTGCTCAGTGCTCTCAACCGTCTGCCGTTCGCCAGGCTACCTCTTCTGAGGGCTTAATTGTCTATTCCCCGTGCCTGTGCCCGCTTAGTACAATGCCTGACCTATAATAGGCACTTGACAAATATTTGCTGAACGAATGGTGCTAATGGTGTATGGATGTGTTTGCTTTTGATGCAGAGAGTTTCTTTTTTTTCTTTTCAAACCCAAGCAGGAGTGAAGGCAAGTTGATGTGTTTTCTTAAAGCAGATTTTAAGCAACAAAGAAGCAGCAGTCCGTCCACTTCTAGTTGCCCTTATAAGATGCTTGATGCCAGATGATAATCACCTGCTTCTAAAGCTGAGCTCTTCTCTCAGCCGGGAATGCAGAAGCCCAAGTGGCAAGTGGTATATATCTTTTTAAATGGGACACTTCTTAGAGGACCCAGTAGGGCTCCGAAAGAGGCGCCAGCTTTACAGAAGGAAACTCAGAGGGAAAGAGGGTAGAAAGAGGGGCAGGAGAACTTTCCCGATTGCTAGCCACATGAAGACACAATCCAGAGATAGCACCATATTAGAAAAGTGGAAGATTGAAATTTAAAAGAAAAGTCTGAGGGAGGGAGTGATGGGGCGGGGGTGCAGAGAGGACAGGGGGAAGCATATGTGTGTGTGTGTGTGTGTGTGTGTGTGTGTGTGTGTGTAAAAACCTGTAACTGTTGTGATGGACATTTAAATAAAACTTATGGAGATATTGTGTTTTAAGATCCTAAGGAGGTTGTTTTCAAATTTATGGTGAAATTTTTCCCAGTGGACCCCGGACATCTTCGAGAAGAGCTTACAAGGTAGAGTAAATTCCCTGTGTGTCTGCAGCATGATGTTACTTAAGAATCATTATTCTCCATTTATCAGAGAACGGGCTTCCAGCCTTCTTTGGAAAGCTTGGCTCTCACTCTCTGGGAGATCGTGAGGAGCTGGAGAGAAGGTGGGCCTGGCTGGTCCCCAAGGCGTTAATCTTGCAAAGAGTGGGGTCCTCAGGGAGAAGGAAGGGTGGCATTCTAGCAGGGTAGACGGCCTGGGTGCCCACTTGGGGGTTCTGCCATTAATTCCTACAACAGTAAGAGCACTCGTCTTCAGTGCATCTGTGTTCCGGTCAGAGGGCAGCTTGATGGCACAAGTGTGATACCAGCTAATTTCCGTAGATGTTGAAAACCGCGTGGGTGTGTGTGCGCGCGTGCACATGCGCGTGTATCCCATAGGTAGAGAGTGATGATGACATGTACTTATAAAAAATTTAAAAAGTAAAAAAATAAAAAGTCTAAAAAATGATTTAAATAAATTATTTATCATATATAATATAGATCATTGATAATTTTATTATAATTCTTTAATAATTATAAATTATTCATTGTTTTATATAATTTTAACAACCATTTATAATTATACATTATTCATAATTTTAGATAGGTAAAATATTTTATACTCATAAAAATAAAAGTTAAAAATTCACCAGTATAAAACATTTTTTAAAAGTATATTTATACTTACATACAATGCCCTTCATTATTACAACGTAACCCTGCTTCTCCAAAAATGCACTGTCAACCTAACACTCTTTCAAACCTGAATGTGCTTGCTAGACTCTAGAATCTTCCCCTCCAAGGGATGCATGTTATCATCTAGCCCAACCCTCCTGGTTTATAGAGGAGGAGACAGTTCTGGGAGCTAGAATGACTTGGCCGGACCTTCCGCAGCCCCCACTCCCTCCACCCCCGCCCACCACACGGATCGCCCCTTCTTGCACAGAGGCCCTTGTTTTCTGAGGGGTCTCTGCAGACGTCACCTTTCACAAGTCTGTCACTGGCTCGCCCCCTCGCCCCACATTTGTGACTTGTAGGCCACTTTCCCAGATAACCTGATATCTTGGTATCTGTATCGGTTTGCACTAGCTAACCCATTTGAGTCTCAAATTATGACCAATTTTAATGGAGATAAACTTTCTCCACCCGCCGCCAAAAAAAAAAAAAAAGAATGAGAAAATCAATGCGATGATAAATGATTCATCAGCTGTTCAGAGTGAGGATTTGGTATTTGTAGCAGGCAGCTGCCCCTTAATAGCGAGGAACGTGTCAAATGACAAGAAGTTTCCTTTCTTGCTTGCTAGGAGCAAAATGAGATTCTCTTTCCCTTTAACAATTGAGGCTTATTATTCTCCTTCACATCTATATTTGAAAGCAGGCAATGGCAAAGGTTAGACTTCCTTTATTTTTTTCCTCGGTGGTCCGTTGAAGATACTTAACCATGGCTGACTTCACAAGGACGCCTTGTTTGGGGCCAATCTGTGAGTTTCTGAGAGTGGTCTGCAAGTATAAATTTTCTAATTGAGTCATTTCTAGCCCATTAGGGGAGCTCATAATTTGAAGGATTATAATGATGAGTACATTTATAAATTGAATAATCACCTACTAATTTTGCCCGTTTTTTCTATCACCTGCAATTAATTTTGATTTACCACATTGTCTTCAAGACTTAATTGATTTAAATTAAAAAGTCCAGATAAAAATGTTATTTAGAAAGGCTCATCTTATATTGGGAAATGCCCACAGTAGATACTCATGAATGCTGGATACCTACCCGCACTTGCTGGGTCCCTGACGAGCCCTTGGTGGGCGAAAGGGCAGTGTGGCTTCATTCCATTCAGAACATTGGCATTTCCTACCTGCCCCGTGGCAAGTGCTGGGCCAGGCTCTGAGGATACAGAGAAGGTGGTGCAGGTGAAGCCCGGCCTCACGTCCTTGATTTCCGCAACACAATCTTTTGGATAGGAGGAGGCCTCAATTCAGTGGGTGACCTGACATCTGGCCGCAGTTTTGCTATCTTTGGGCAAAATCACCTTGCTTAAAATCCCTTAACCTCTGCCCTTCTGTCATTGTAAAATGGGTCTGATCGATCCTGCCCCACCAACCAAGTTGTTTGAGAGATAGGGTTTGATAGCATTTGCTCAACAGAGCGGCCTGAGCCAGCTTTGTATTGCTGACTTCCCTTTCTCTCCGCCTGGGTCTGTGGCTTTGCTCCGTGGCAGAAACCACGAGAGGATGATTGGCCAACTCCCCCAAGCTGGCGGGAGGATTTAGCGGGGGTGATTCCTAACGGCTGCGAGGGAGGCCTGCCAAAATGCTGCACCAGATCTCTGCCTTAGTCACCCTCCCAAAAACGCATCTCACTGTCTTGGGGGCGCCGTTTCTTTCTTGAACCATCTTGGATCGGGGAGAAAGGAAATGATTCTCTCTTGTTCCTGTTTCTTTCTCAAGAGATTTTATTCCCCCCTACTTCTTTTCAGGTATCTTTTTACTCTTCAAATAAAGAAGGATTTGGCTCTAGGAAGGCTTCCGTGCAGTGAGAACTGTACTGCGTTGATGGTGTCTCACATTCTACAGTGTAAGTAGCAAATGGCGGCTTCGGGGCAAGAGCCGAGCAAGGGAGCGGAGCACCCCTGCCTGTGCCCATCCTGTGTTAGGACTTACAGAGGAGAGAAAGCCTGCATAAGGTGTCTGGAATCCTCATGGGCCAGTACAAAGAGGCTGGTCATTATAGCCACTCAGCTTTGGATTCCAGATCCAGTCCCTGCTATGTTCTAGCTGTTGTAGGCTTGGGTGAAGTCCCCTCACCTGTCTGTGCCTCAGTTTCCTAGTCTTTACAATAGTAACAAGAGGATCTTCTCATAGACTGGTTATGTAGATTAAAAGTAAATGCAGGTTTTCTTCCATCATGGTGTAACCTCCCCCCTCACCACCCCCCACTCCCACCCCCACCTGGGGCTTGCTGTCCAGGAGCCTCGTGGACTCATCTGTCCAGGCATGGATTTTGCCAGGCAAGCTCCACTCCCTCTGCTTGCCCCGGGATGCATTTCTGGTACGTGCTTTCTGTAGCACACCCTCATGTTTGATGGGATTTCTGCCTTGCTCTTTATCCTGAGTCTGGGGAACCAAGCACAGAGTACAGCAGGTAAAAGAGGCTAAAAGGGAAAAAGGCCCCAGGGGTCTACTAGGGTCCCCCATTTGCTGGCAGCCAAGTAGCTGGACTAGGCTGAATAATGAAGGCAGGGAGAAGGAGACCCGGGGAACCGCGGGGACCTGCTTGGGAGGGGGTGAAGCAGGGCAAGCCAGTCTTCTCCGGCACCCCTAACAGTGGGGTCGAGGCAGCTGGAGACAGTATTTCATCTCCTATGGCCAGTGGACTCTCTACCTTTTCTAGAGAGGCCTTCCAAGAACAGGCTGTTCTTTACCACTTTTGCGGGATCATAACATCATTTTTTGGCTTGTTTTACGAGTTCGGTGTTGACCTCTGTCCCTGACCGTTCTGACAGGCCAGAGCTGGTAGATTTCTGATTTCACTGGGAGCACCAGGATGAAGTGCTTGGAGAGAGACATTGTCTAAATCAGTGTTTATCTCAGGGATGCCTGCCTGGGATAGGTGACCACAGCCCCAGGGTATCAGGAATGCAGTGGGCCCTGAGAACAATAGTAATCAGGAAAGGCTTCCGGAGGAGGTGGCTTTTGTGCTGGACCTTAAAGGAGCACATAGGTAGTGATAGGCAGAGACACAGCTCAGGTAGGGCTCAAGCATAGGGTCTGTTTAGGGGAAGTAACAGAGAACTACAAGTCGTATGGATGGGCTTTGAACGCTCGGCTGGTGGGGTGGGGTGCGGGGTAAGGCGCATAGACAAAACAATGTTGGAAGACTTATCCTTTTTCATTATCAGCCTGTTAATGACTGGGGCTCCCCCACAGCCTCTAATGGCTGCGGGGGAGCCCAATTTCAATTTTAATAGCTGAGCATTATGGATTTGGGCATTCCCTAGTGGCCATCTGAGGCATAGCACTGAGGACTTCTGCTTTTCTAGAGAATACTTTGTCAATACAAGTTCTTTCCATAGGGAAAAATCTGAGGTTTCAGTGAGTCCCACTCCTCCCAGGGCAAGTCACTGGACGCCAGGGCAGTGTGCAGAACATCATCAGGTGGCTCATTCTTTTGCTCATTTAGTCATTTGCTCATTTAGTCATTCATCCGATATTTACATCCTAGGCACTCCAGAATCTCCACATGCTGACCTCATCTGCCTAAGTCTCTCTTACACATCCCTTTTACGAACGCTCTTAGTAACTTCTTTGTCATTCATTCAACAAAAACTTATTGAGTGCCTACCACATGGCAGGTGCTGTTATAGGCACGGGGAACTGGGCACTGAGCTGGACAAACACAAAGCCTTGCTCTCTTGGAGCTCACCTTTTGGCAGTGGAGGACAATCAGACAACCTAAATGAGGAAATATAGCATGTATGTTAGAAAGTTATAAGTGCATCAGGGAAAAATCACATATGGGAGGAAGATGGGGAATCCAGGGAGTGGGTACTCAATTTTTCAATGAAGTAGTCAGGGTAGGCTTCACTGTGAACATGACAGGTGACCAAAGATTTGGAGGAGGTGAGAGGGCAAGCTTTACAGAAATCTGCTGGAAGGTTGTTCCAGGCAGGGATAACATCCTGTGCAAAGGGCCTGAGGTGAGAATGTGTCAGGAGTGTTCAGAAACATTTAAGCAGGCTTTGTGGCTGGCTGGAGCTGGGGGGGAAGTAATCATGGAGGGCCTTAGAAACCTACTAAAGACCTAGAACATTACGTGAGATGGGAAACCACTGATGCATGTTAAGCAGAGGAATGAGATTATTGGAATTAGGTTTCAACGGGAACTTGTTGGCTGCCAGGTGAAAACCTTATTCTTGGGGTGGCTGGGTGGCTCAGTGGGGTAAGCATCTGCTTTCGGCTCAGGTCATGATCCTGGAATCCCAGGATTGAGCCCCTCACTGGGCTCCCTGCTCAGCAGAGACCCTGCTTCTCCCTTTGCCCCTCACCCCACTCATGTTCTCTCTCTCTCACTCTCTCTGCCTCTCTCTCAAATAAGTAAAATCTTAAAAAAGAAAAAAAAAAAGAAAACCTTATTCTGGAATGGTGGAAATGGGGAGACCAGAGAAGAAGCTGTAGCAGTAGAGAGAGATGATGGTACTTTGGGCCAGCGTGGTAACAGTGAATATGCTCATAACATTTGCTACCTTCTTGTACTGCTGATGTTTACTCATGTGAGTTTCATAGGTCTCTTCCTAGATTGTCATAGTCTTGCATGGAGTGAAAAACTAGCAGTCTTATGTGTTCTTGTGTTTTCCAAGGGTCAACATAGGGTCAGGGTCTTGTGCTTAATAAACAGTAGGGTTGGGTGTATGTGTGTGTGTGTGTGTGTGTATGTGTATGTGTATAATTTAGAGAGCAGGAGAGCATGAGTGGGGGGAGGGGCAGAGGAATAAGGAGAAGCAGACTCCCCACTCAGTGGGGAGCTTGATTTCAGGACCCTGAGTTCATGACCTAGGCCAAAATCAAAAGTTGGACACTCAACTGACTGTGCCACTCGGGCGCCCCCTCTAATTTACTTTTAAAAACAGCTCTATTGAAGTATAATTTACTTATCATAAAATTCACCCTTTTAAAGGCTACAACTAAACAGTTTTTAATAAATTTACAAAGTTGTGCAACCATGGCCACAGTCCAGTTTTAGAACTCTCCCATCACGCTGAGAGACCTTTCCTGCCCATCTGCAGTGACTCCTTGGTTCCCACACTCAGCCCCAGTAACCACTAATTTACTTTCTGTTTCTATAGATTTGCCCTTTCTAGACATTTCACTCAGAATGATAGAATATGTGGTCTTCTGCGTCTATGTGGCTTTGTTTCACTCAGCATAATATTTTTGAAATTCATGCATGTTCTACCATGAATCACAGCTATTTTCTTCCTTTCTTTTGCTGAGTAGTATTCCATTTTATGGACATACCACATATTGTTCACCTCTGTACTTGGCTGTGGACATTTGGATTGTTTCCAGCTTAGCTAATATGAATAATGTTATGGACATTCATGTGCAAGTCTTTGTTTGGGCACATTCTCATATCTTTTGAATAGATTCCCAGGAGGGTAATTGCCTCATCTTAAGGTAAATTAATGTTAAAAATGGTAAGAAACTACCAAACTGTTTTCTAAATTCTAACAGTAAAACCAGAAACGTATCACATTTCTAACATCCCACATCTTCACCAATAGTTGGTATTATCTGGGTTTTGGTGTGTGTGTGTGTGTGTGGTGTTTATTTGGTTGTGGCCATTCTAGTGAGTATGAAGAGCTATCTCACTGCAATTATACTTTGCATTTTCCTAGTGAGTAACGATGTGGAGCACCTTCTCATCTGTTTATTAACAGTCCCTTTTTGTTGGCAAAATGCCTTTCAGATCTTCTGCCCATTTTAAAATGGGTTGTTGTCTTCTTATTGAATTTTGAGAGATTTTTATATACTCTTTTTTAAGTTTATTTACTTATTTTTGTAAATAATCTCTATGTGGGGCCCAGACTCATGACCCTGAGATCAAGAGTTGCATGCTCTTCCAACTGAGCCAGCCAGGGGCCCCAGATTTTTATATATTCTGATTAAAAATCATTTGTGAAATATGTAATTTGAAAAATTTTTCCCCCAGCTTGGTGGCCTGACTTTCCATTTCTTAATCCTGGCTTTTGGAGTGGAACAGTTTTTAATTTTGCCAGAATTCCCCTTTCTCAATATGTTTTAGTGGATCGTGCTTTTAGTGTACCTAAGAACTCTTTGCCTAACCTAAGGTCACAAAGATTTTCCTCTGTTTTCTTCTAGAGCCTTTGCAGGTTTACCTCTTAGGTCTAGTTATATGATGTTTTGAGTTATTTTATTTTTTTGGTCTGCTTATATGGTGTATGTTGTGAAGTAGGGATCCAACTTCTTTTTTTTTTTTTTCTTGTGGTTGTCCATTTTCCCCCATTTGTTGAAAAGACTATCATTTCCCCCATTAAATTGTCTTGGTGTCTTTATAAAAAAACAATTGACCATTAATGTAAGGGTTTATTTCTGGATTCTTAACAATATTCCATTGATCTATATGTCCTTATGCCATTATTACACTGTCTTATTTATTGTAGCTTTGTATTGAGTTTTGAAATAGGGAAGTGTATATCTTCCAACTTTGTTCTTCTTTTTCAAAATCGTTCTGGTTATTTTGCATCCTATGTGTTTCCATGTTAAGATTATCTATCAATTTCTATCAATTAATCTATCAATTAATATCATCTATCAATTTCTATTTAAAAATGTGGTGGGAATTGCATTGAATTTATAGATCAATTTTGGTAGAATTACCACCTTAATTATATTGAGTCTTATAATGCGTGAACCTGAAATGTCTCTCCATCTATACAATCTGTTAAAAATTTAAAAATGTTTTGTAATCATCAGCATACAAGCCTTATACATCTTTTCATTAAATTTATTCCTGAGCACTTTATTTTTTAGATGCTATCGGAAATGGAACTTATTTAGTTTCATTTTTGGATTCTTCATTGCTAGTGTATGCACATGCAAGTCCTTTTTGTATATTGATCTATTTTGCTAACTTGATGAACTCCTATATTCTAGGAGTTTTTTGTGGATTCCCCAGAATTTTCCGCACACATGACCGTGTTGACTACAAGTAAAGACAGTTTTATCTCTTTCTTTTCAGTGCAAATTATTGATATTTTTTCTTGCTTATTAATTGGATTGACTAGAACCACCAGTACAATGGTGGATAGAAGTGGCAAGAACAGACGTCTTTGTCTTATTTCTGGTCATAAGAGAAAGCATTCGGTTTCTCACCATTTAGTATGATTATGATGTTAGCTGTAGGTTTTTCATAGATAACATTTATCAGTTTGAAGAAGTTCCCTTCTACTCTGTGTTTCTTGGATTTTTAAAAATTTATTATTATTATATTTTTCTTGAAAGAGCAAGAGAAAGAAAGAGAGCAGGAGGGTGGGTGAGGGGCAGAGAGAGGGAGAGGGAAAGACAGAATCTTAAACAGGCTCCGTGTCCAGTATGGAGCTGGATACTGGGCTTGATCCCATGACCCTGAAATCATGACCTGAGCTGAAATCAAGAATCAGATGTTTACTAGGATTTTGTTGAGGATTTTTGCCTCTGTATTCATGAGGTATATTGATCCATAGTTTCCTTATGATGACTTTGTCTGGTTTGGGTATCTGAGTAATACAGCCCTCATAGAATGAATTAGTAAGTATATTTCTATTTTTTGGGAGAGTTTGTGAAGAATTGGTCTTCATATCTTCTTTGAATATTTGATAGAATGAATCAGTGAAATCATATGGGCCTGATTGTGTTTTAATGAGATTTGTACATTTATCAATTTTGGCAAAAATATAAATTAAAAAGCCATTGATTTGGCCTTTTTAAAAAGAACTTGTTTGTGAGGGTTTTATATAATGCGACTTATATACATACATACCTCATCTGTCATGAGCATGTTGGTGAACATGTCATCTGTCTAAAATGTAATAGAGGGGCACCTGGGTGGCTCAGTTGTTAAGCGTCCACCTTCGGCTCAGGTCATGATCCCAGGGTCCTGGGATGGAGCCCTGCATCAGGCTCCCTGCTCAGCGGGAAGCCTGCCTCTCCCTCTCCCACTCCCCCTGCTTGTGTTCCCTCTCTTGCTGTGTGTTTCTCTCTGTCAAATAAATAAATTAAAATGTTTTAAAGAAATGTAATAGAAAAAAAGAGAAAAGAGGAAGTAAGTTTCCATCCCTCAAAATCAGTGTCCCATATCCATCTATTTTAGTCACCGGATTCCATGGAGAATGTATTTACTCTTACAATTCATAAAATGCCAATTGTTTTGGATATCTATGTTCTTGGTTAGGAATCCTAATTATGACCAAGTGTGGAGATCTTTTCAGGAGAAGTCAGTAACCAAGAAGTGATTCATACCAATCTGACAGAGAGGGAAAAGGCATAAAAATTATAAGGAAGACCCAGTAATTCAAAAATTGAAAGATTTTGAAGCCATTAACTATAGGAGCAGATAATCCTGTATACCTCAATCACCTTTGTAGGCATTGTGCTGTGACAGGTGTTTATAACAATAAGCTAGAGACATCTAGAGATGAGAAGATTATGATCAGGGATAAGCTGCCAGTGATTTAGGAAAGCCAGAATGATTTCCAGAATGATTCATTTACTGGGCATTCTGGATAGCTGGGGTTTTGCTCGTTTCGCCCACAATGATGCATTTGTACTTGGCATTCATAGTCTCCTTTTCTGATAATGCACAATCAGGGTAGAGTGAGATTAGGGACCCGTGTGAGTTTGCTAGGGTTGCTATAATAAAACACCAGGAACCAGGTGGCTTAAACGGCAGAAATGTCTGGACGCATCCTCACCCGCCCTTTCCTCCAGGTACTTGGTTCCTGGTGTCTCTCTGCAGGGTCAAATTTCCTCTTCTTCTAAGGACGCCAGGTCCAACTCACTTAGGGCCCACCCTACTGACTCATTTTAACTTAATCCCTTCTTTATAGGCCCTATCTCTGAATATAGTCACGTTCTGAGCTATGGGGTTTAGGACTTCCACTTCCGTGGTGGGCAGGGGGTGGGGGCACCCAGTTCAACCCCTAATAGGTACTGGTGAGAAGAAAAAGACCAGAAACAGAGTGTGGAAGAAGGAACCAAAGAAATATTCATCTGTGATCCTGGAGCCTTTAAGACATACACTGTGCCTATGATTTACTATGAAACTTCATGGCAACCCACTGCTTCTGATTTGAAAAAGACCCAGTTATGGGGCACCTGGGTGGCTCAGTCGTTAAGTGTCTGCCTTCAGCTCAGGTTGTGATCCTGGGGTCCTGGGACTCAAGCCCTGCATCGGGCTCCCAGCTCAGAGGGAAGCCTGCTTCTTCCTCTTCCATTACCACTTCTTATCTGTCTATTTGTCTCTCTCTCTCTCTCTGTCAAATAAATAAGTAAATAAGTAAATAAAATCTTTAAAAAAAGGAAAAAGACCCAGTTAATTCCCCCCCATCCTAAAACATAAATACATATAAAGCACGGAGTAGGGGGCCTAGGGCTGCACTGGCTGCAAAGAAAAGGCTGTTTGGGGAGGTTGGAGGGTCTGCTGAGTGCTCCGTTGCTAAACCCCCCCAATGCTAATGTGAAAAATGTCACTTCTCCGTCATGCAGCAGAACTGGGAGACTTTCATGAAGAAACAGACAAGAAACACTTGGCACAAACCCGCTACTTACCGAACCAGGACTGTTTAGAGAGCAAGATTGTGCACTTTCATCAGAAGCACGTGTGAGTCCTTCAACCAGTACCCGCTTCTACCAGCAGGGAATGGGACAGCTGGGGTCAGGCTCTTAAAAGCAAGTCCTTAAGTCAGAGAAGCTCCGGGCTCAAGAAAACACTGAGCTCCTCCCGGATCCCTTAGGGAGGAGGTGGCATTTTTGCTGCATTTATTAAGCTCATAAATTCTTTCCCTTTGCAGTGGCAGGAGCCCTGCGGAATCTGACATCCTGCTATTGGATGTAGCGAGGAAGCTGGATATGTACGGCATCAGGCCTCACCCTGCCAGCGACGGCGAAGGCACGCAGATCCACCTGGCTGTCGCTCACATGGGAGTACTGGTGTTACGGGTAACAACCATTTCCTTCTAAGTCCTGTGGCTTTGGGGGTTATCTTGGCTCAAACTTGGGTGACCTTGCCCCTCAGTCCTACCACCAGCCAGAAAGGGAGGGGATGCTTATGAGCGTCCCGTGTCCAATTTCTTGTCTGCCTGGGCTTTACCTCCATTTGTGGTCTTTGACGGACTGATTTGACTCTGAGGATCATTGGATCGGGCCGGCGTGGTGGAGAAAGTCAAGAGGCCCTTTGGAACTCTTAGACCCTAAATATGAATATGGATTTTGGCATCCTAAAAGCTTTGGCTGTGACACTAAGTGCACCCACCTTGTCCAGATCCACCAGAAACAACCCAAAGAGACCAAATGAGAGCTCCAAAGAAAGTCACAAACAGGTCAGGTGCAGACTCGGCTAGAACCATCTTGGCCTTCTCATGTTTCGGGTTGTAAACTTTGCAGCATGAGAGTCACACAGGTGGGCAAAAGACCCAATGGGTCACAGGAATAAGTGTTCCCCCAGGAAGGAATTTGACCCATTCTACTCTAACTGCCCCCCATCAGTCCTTGTCGTTTCCTACGGCATGGGAGAAAATGGGGAAGGGGAGGGGAGCAAGGCCGTCATGTTAGTCGGGAGCTCTTCCAGCCCAAGCATTTCTGTGGACAGTGTGGAATAAAGTAGCCAGTCTATTTTGTCCTACTCCAAATGCAGTCTAAGAATACTTGTGTACCGAGTACTTTGTATGTGTTCGGTATTGTGTTATTCTTTAAAAAAAAAAACAACTCAAACCCAGCTTTATTGAGATGTAATTTGCATAATCTATAATTCATCTGGTTTAATTTTTCAATTCAATGGGCTTGAGTATATTTACAGAGTCTGGCGGCACTATTCCTTGATTCATTCATCCTTCTGTCGGTATAGTTACTGTATAGCTATCCAGTGCCGGATACTAGAGCTGCAGAGGTAAACAGGAGGGATGCTGACAAAGTCTTTCTTTTCTTAAAAGATGTATTGATGTATTTATTTGAGAGAGAGAGAGAGAGAGAGAGAGAGAGAAAATGTAAGCAGGGGGAGGGGCAGAAGAGAGAATCCTCAAGCAGATTCCCTGCTGAGTGCAGAACCCAACATGGGACTCAATCCCAGCACCCTGAGATCGTGACCTGAGCCAAAATCAAGAGTCGGATGCTCAGCTGGCTGAGCCACGCAGGCGCCCCATGGACCTTGCATTCTAATAGGGGGAAGACGGACAATGAAACAAGTAATTTTAAGCAAATGCCATGTATTTGTTTTCGAAGAAGTATGGGGTGCTAAGGTAACGCATGTGAAAAGGGTTTAACATTTGAGCTAAGGGGGCACCTGCCTGGTTCAGTTGGAAGAGCTTGTGACTCTTGGTCTTGGGGTCATGAGTTCAAGCCTCATGTTGGGTGGAGAGATGACTAAAAATAAGTAAATAAATAAACTTAAAAAAATTTAAGACAAGACACTAGGAAGTTGTCCAGATCAAAGAGATAGGGTTGGCAGGGGCTGGGGGCGGGGCGCGGATTCCAGACAAAGGGCACAAAGACAAAGGCCCGGAGAAGGGTAAAGGATGGCATGGTCAACAAACTAACATTAAGCATGACCTATGGCTCAGGTCATTAAGGTTCTCACAATTTAGAGAGACCAGAGAAATAGTGATCAATATCAGTAATCAGTAATAAGTAATCCAAAGCTAATCTATCCTACACACGTGAAGCTGCACAACAAGCATACATAACAAACTAATAAATGTGGTTATCCATAGAGAATGGATAGATGGGTACAGAGGGACAGATATAGGAATGATGGTGGTGGGAGCGAGACTTCTCGATGTGTATATTTTTTGTATACCTTTGATTTTTGGACCATTTAAACAAACAAACATCAAGCAACTGACCAACCAGCCAACCAACCAACCAACCACCCAAAAGAGCTAAATGGTTTGAGCAGTCCAGAAGAGCCCAAGGCGTTCAGAGCAGTTAGAAATGGATAGTTATACAGAATATTTTAGAAGGGGGTGCTAGCCGACTGGCGAGACAGCTTGACTACGGGGAAGGCAATTTTGGGTAAGGAGAATGACAAGCCCTCTGGGAGGGAAGGTACAGAGTTGGATGGAAGGGTGTTTTCTAGGATTAGCGGGATGGAAGGCTGGATGTTCAATACAGCTGAGGCAGGACACCCCAGCCAAACGTGTTTAGACTTGATGATGCCTGCAGTGAGAAGTTCTGGAACGTATTCGAGTAAATGCAGTGGCAGTTGAATCTGAAAACATAGGAAGGGGGTGCAGTTAGAGAACTGACTCTAGTCATCCCCTCCTCCCGTGGTCTCCCTATCCTGGCTGGAGAACTTTCCCACGTGAACCCCTTCTTGCTTGCATTTCAGAACAGTCTTATGTCCCCCTGAAATAACTTCTTTGCCCCCAGCTCCTACCTAGTACAACAGGATCATCCTGTGCAAGAGGTGGGATGGTCCCATGCATGAAGTGCGTTTTCTACCAGGTTCTCATTGTCTTCCAAACCAGCTTGTGCTGACATTCACCTTGAAATCTGCCATGCATGTCATTACAGGGCAACACAAAGATCAATACTTTCAACTGGGCTAAAATTCGCAAGTTGAGTTTTAAAAGAAAGCATTTTCTCATCAAACTTCATGCCAACATCTTGGTAAGTAGTTTCTAATAAATTCTGTTACTTTCTGTTCACTTGGGATTTCTTGGTTGTTTCAGCAAATGGTCTAAATGTGAGTGGTGAAAGCGGAGGGGTGAGGTACTCCCTTTTTTGCCTCTACATAAATAAACCGGAGCATTAGTCATATTTTTACTCAAGGCAAAACACCAAGAAATCCTATCGGCAGTTCAGAATGAATAAACTATGTTGGAAAATGGGGTGGCTGAAATGAAGGCCAAGTCTCCTTAAAAACCATGTTTTTCCCCCAGGGATTTGATAAGTCAAATTCAAGTGACCAGATCTAGGACTACGGACATGTTTAATTGCTGTTATCTGCCCCATTTTATATCTTTGTCTCCTTTCCTTAAACAAAAACAACTGAACACTGAGTACGTGCCAAATAATTGAACACCTATTATTTGCCAAAGCAGGATGCGGTATGGCGGGGGGTGGGGTATAGATTAGGCAAAAGCAGCTCTTATGGATCAAGGCTGGATTGTACAGGGTATGACAAAGGTGCTAGAAAGGATGCTTTGTGACTCTAAAGGAAATGAAAATGTGTATCAGCTCATTTTTTGACTTTCAGAAGATGCTGTAGTATGGCCTTCATTCTCTGGATCTTAGCCTCACACAAAAGTGTTCATTTGAGCAGTTCAGGAGACTGCCTCCAGTGTAAAACTCAGGGAGTGTCCCAGGGCTGCATGTGGGAACCTGGAAAGGAATGAGGGAAGGGGGGAATCAGCAGAAAACAGGGCTGCATGCACACATGCGCAAATGCGGGTCATAAAGTGGGTTGGGGTATGGGGAAAACTTAACCTTTAGGTCTGAAAGGCTAAGCTCCCCTGGAGCAGATGAAGACATGCTAAATGAGCAACACAGAGCATCACAGAACAAGGCAGCATAGGGAGGGCGAAGTGTTTCTAGCTGGTATGTTGGAAAGACTGCTATACATGTAATCATCCTATAAAGCCTACCATCTATAAGGAAATCGCCTCCTCCCCCTGTTTCCTGTTGGTCATTTATAACTTCTTGTCACCTTGAAACGATGTCCTTTGATGTTCATTTTAACCTAATTTACAACTTCATAAAAATGTTCCTGGCAGAGAAGAGGGGGTAAAAACGCATTTGAGGTGTGGGGGCTCCAGAGCAAGATTGGCTTCTCAGAGAAGGCTCTGTTTTTGAGCATTGGCCATGTCTGTTCCTCGGAAGGTTGCCAATCGTTTGGTTTTAGTAGGTGTGAAGACTGTAGGGAGCCAAGTGGAAAATCAGAAGCTGCATGGGCCCCTGAACCAATCGTTTGGAAAACATTAGGAATCGAAGTTCTTTGATAGTCTTGAAGGATGTTTGGCTTGATGGAAATTGGTTTACACAGGTGTTGTGCAAGGACACCTTGGAGTTCACCATGGCCAGCCGAGATGCCTGCAAGGCTTTCTGGAAGACCTGTGTGGAGTACCATGCTTTCTTCAGACTTTCTGAAGAGCCCAAATCCAAGCCCAAAACCCTACTGTGCAGTAAGGGTTCCAGTTTCCGCTATAGGTAATGAAATATTGCACATAAGCAAACGGGACACACAACTTCTTTTCAGTAGTGTGGAAGGCAATGGGAGCCATTAAATTCTAGAAGCAATAAAGAATCCCCTTTACTGCACCTTCTCTGTGTGACACCTGAGGTCCATATTTCCTAAGGGGGAGGCCAGAGGAGGGAAGCACCCTAGTTTAGGGGCTAGATCAGAATATTGGCAAGGATCGGCGGGAACTTACGCTGTTTGAGAAGATGTATTTAATGAACCTATAGTTTTCCTTATATCGCAACTTACATGCAAGGTATGGGAAGGAAAGCTCAACACCATCTGTTTGGTGATGGTTGGGCAAGAGAGGTGGGGAGACAGTCTTGGAGGAGCTCAGGGAGGCCAAACTCCGAGCTATATGGTGGTAGAGGCTCCTCGGCGCAGGTGACACTTTGGAGGAGTGGAAGCAAGGTCAAAATAAGATCTGATTTTTACGTGAATGCACCAGCCTAGGAATTCTTTGGAAGAAGCCTTCAAAACTCTTAGCTAAGATTTAAAACAAAACGAAACGAAACAAAACCCTCCTAATTGAATGTTTCCCATAGGGGATTTTCAAACAGTGGAATTGAGATCTCAAAAACATAGGTATTTTTTGATGGAATCTTTCCAAGATGTGTTTTACAAATCTCCACCTTCTTAAACAGATGATACTGGGCATATTTTGCCCTTTTCTTAACGACCAGATTTATTATAAACGTCACTTATGATCCTCTGCGGGCAGCTGTGGTCCAGTGATGGCCCCCGGCTCGGGGCGGGGGAGGCACGTCAGTCCCCGTACCTCAGTGATAAATGGCTCAGACTTGTTGGGTTTTATTATTTTTAGTAATATTTTTATTATTATTTTATTTTATTATTTTTCCTGATTTTTTTTGGCTCTTGTGTTTCTCCCAGCTGTCAGCTGGCTTTCTTTGCTGGTGTATGTCTCTCTGGAGCAAGAGTCTTTTACTATTTAGTTAGCTGTTTTTCTTCTGTCAGGAATTGGAGAACCAGCTAAATAGCTTTATTAGAAATTGTATGTAAATTTGCAGGTAGGGAAAAGGCCTTTATAGGAAAGTCAGTTTGTTTTCAAGGCCAGAATTTTTAACTGTGATATAGTCCTGTTCCAAAGCTTTTAAAAATCTTCTGGGTTCTGAGTAGTTGAGGTTGCTCTAGGCCTGATAGTTGAAAAAGTGGGTAGTTATCATTACTGTGATGGTCAGCCATTCATGGCATATGTCATTCATGGGGACGCTTGACTTCAATAGTAATTGAAGCTTTGGAGTTTTAGTAGTCTACTGGCTTATGAGTGGTGTTAATAAAATATCTATCTCATTCTTAATCACAGTGGAAGGACCCAACGGCAGCTTTTGGAATATGGAAAGAAAGGGAGGTTGACGAGCTTGCCATTTGAGAGGTACGGGATTTTCTCTCTCTCTCATGTTGATTTGAAGCCGAATGTAGAGATTTCTATGTATTCTCTATGTGCCTGTAGACCATTTCAATTCCTTTTCTGGATTACAGGAAACATTACCCATCTCAGTACCATGAGCGACAGTGCCGGTCCTCACCAGACCTCCTCTCTGATGTGTCAAAACAAGTAAGGTTTCTGAGAATCCCTTCTTCTTTAGATAAATGTACTACATCTACATGTGAAATGCTTTTAAGAATTGATTCTGCCAGAAACCTCCCGGTGTGTGAAAAGGTGACTCTGAGTAGGCTAGCCTCCTCAGGAGGTCTGTTAGCTCAATCTTTCCAGCCAATAGAAGACCATTTAATAAATTACCACTGGTGTGCACCTTATGGACTGAAAGCATCTGGCACATCTCTAAATTGCAACTTGTATTGCTAACGTCATGTAAAATGCGGATCCAAGTGAATTTCTATGGCTTTGAATTTTTTAAACTAAAAGCTCTTTTTTTTTTTTTTTTTTACCTAATGAAAAATTTTAAGGCTTAGAGGAAGCTTTAAGGTCTTGGGTTAACGTTTTAAAGTACTCTTGTCGTGTAATTTTGTCACTTAATTTACGAACAAAGTGCTATTCTCCTGGAACCGTGAGATGATGGCTTCATTTGAGTTTTATAAGCATTAACCATGTTAATTATTTTTCTTTTGCTCTCCCTAAAAAGAAAAAATTATAGGTCTCACAACCTCTCATGTCTTCGTTCAAATCATAGGCAGTTTTTATCTCAAAGGCCTCACGGAGGTATAATGCCATCTAACTATGTGACCCTCTGGTGCCATTTGTAGCCCTCCTTCCCACCATTTTACAGAGAATAGGGAGGATGCTAGAGCAGGGAGGTCAGGAGATCCACCTGAAGTCCCAAGGCAGAGCCAGAACTCGAAAGCAGAACCCCTGGCTCTTTTATAAATGAGCTACTGAACCATTCTGCCTGAAGTACCATGCCAGCGGAAGTACATGGAGAACTCAAGAGGCAAGGAGTGGGATGGCAGTGAGAAAGGAGACTGTCGTGGGTATTCTTTAGCACAAGGATTGGGATATGGTACAAGGTATTTCCCTTTCTGTATACATTCACCAACTTGGACTAGAACATGGAGTTGAGATGACCTTGTGAAAATACCTTCGTGAAATACAAGGCGAGTTGAGATCCCTGCCCCACCCCCAAGCAAATGGCTTTTCTCTTCTTTCACCAACGTGTCCTTTCTCTCAAGGTGGAAGATCTGAGACTAGCGTACGGCGGTGGGTATTACAGAAATGTGAATGGAGGGCACGCGTCGGAGCCCGTGCTCGACGGTAGGAGGAGGAACTCTGCAGTGGAGGTGACGTTTGCAGCGGAGCTGGAGCGTTCCAAACCAGAGGCGGATCCCACACTGTTACACCAGTCCCAAAGCAGTTCCTCTTTCCCTTTTATTTATACAGACCCTGTCTTTAGTACTGACCCGGATCCCAGAGACTACTTTGAGGAAAGGAGTCCTCTGAGCTCCTTCCAACCAAGCTGTAAGTTTGCTGACAAGCACATGAGCACATCTTCTGGCCTTGCAAGCAAAGTGAGTCCAGCAAGGCAGCTAACTTACACAGATGTGCCCTATATTCCTTGCACTGGTCAACAGGTTAATATTATGCCTCCCCAAGTCTTTTTTTATGTGGACAGACCACCCCAGGTGCCCAGACGGTCTCCAGTCATGGCAGAGGAAAGGGAAAGGCCAGACAGCTGTCTAGAGCCCACTGCAATGAAGCCAGCCAAAAGAAGCCCAAGGAATGTCAGAATGAAGAGCTTTCAGCAAGACTTTCAAGAACTCCAAGAAGCTATGGCCAGGACTAGTGGGAGGAGCAACATCAACGTAGATCTGGAAGCAGAAGACCCAAATTTAGAAGATTCGTTTGCATACAGCATTCAAGACCAAACCCCCAAGCGATCCCAGAGCCAGTCAGACATGAAAACGATCCGTTTTCCTTTTGGGTCTGAATTTAGACCTTTAGGGCCTTGTCCTACTCTGAGTCGAAAAGCTGACCTTTTTACATATATGTTTGCAGAGCAGGAGTTTCCAACAGTTTTAATGGATCAGGGAGCAGCAGAAAGGTACGTAGCTAGTGAATCCAGTGATTCAGAATCAGAAATTCTTAAACCAGACTACTACTCTTTGTATGGCAAAGGAATCAGGTCGCCCATGGCCAGAATCCGCTTGTCTTCTGGTAGTCTACAGCTTGATGAAGAGGATGAAGGTGTTTCTTTCAATACGCCAACTGCTGAAGACAGGACTTTGTTAAAACCATGTAATTACTTTTTAGCTTGAAAGTGTGAACTCAGTGAACGTTTCTGGGCCAGTTCCACGTTGCCAACTTAGGTAAAAAATAAGGAACCTTCTGCACAAACCATTTTCTTAGTTACCCTTCATTGGTAATGAGGGGATCGGCTATGTTTGGGCACCTAGCTCAGGAAAGACCCAGCTGCTGCCTCGTTCCTCAAGCTCCCCTCTTCAGTTTCCTCTGAAGGGGCTCCAGAACATACCCTCTCCTCACCAGCACTGTGGTGGGGCGAGGTGGCTACTTGTCATCTGCATTATACATTTCCCCATAGAGACATCGGTGACTGTCAACACTGTATGATGTTGACAGTATGGATTGGCATAGCATTGGCCTCTGATGTCCTTTAGTGATTTGGTAGATTGTGACTGTGTTGGTCATTTTGTTTTTAAGCCATACTGTGACTAAAGGTTCCTGTAAAAATGGTCCTGTTGTATGTTAAAGACTTCAATTTTTGTAACATATGTAAGGGGGAACATGGCCATCCTATACCTCAAGAACAAGATGGTGGCATAGAACCTCCCATCAGATGCATCTAGGACTTGGAAGCATTCTAAACCCTGGAAATTCATGAATTGGTCAATTTCTAAAGCCAGATAGATGCCCAATGACGATTATGACGTTTGACTTACTACTTCTCTACTCTTAACTATTATATGTAGTGACAGAAGTTTACATGTTGGTTTCTCTACTTTCTCCTGTAAGACTTTATTGTTTTGCCATCTCTTGCTGCATGTATGTAGGCAAGGAAATGAGATGAATGGCATTTTAATAAAGAGTGATGGAAATCCATTTACTAAAAAAATAAATTGCAAGTATGATCTTCATTTTGTTTTAGTCAATTTCAGAAATGACTGGTTCTGGTCTTTTATCAAGGGAAGGGACAGAGAACAAGAAAAAGGAAGGAGACAGGTGAAAATGTAGAGTTGGGGAAGGAGAAGTTGTAGAATTGGGGTAGTTGATGAGAAAAAGGATAGTGCTAAAACCAGACTGAGTTCATGAACCAAGATTCTATTCTTGACCCATTCAAAATTTCCCTACTATTCCCCCTGGAAGGTCCAATATTCCATTTGAGCACTTTTGTCCATTGATTTTAATGTTAAGTACAACATATTTACAAGATAATGGTAGGTACTAACTTCAAAGAAATGATGCAATTATATAAGCAGGCTATTTTTTAGAACATTTTATTTATTTATTTGAGAGGGAGAGAATGAGTGAGGGAGCAGGAGTGGAGGGGGAAGGGCAGAGGGACAGGGAGAAGCAGATGCCCCATTGAGCTGGGAGCCCAATGATGCGGGGCTTGATCCCAGGATTCTGGGATCATGACTTGAGCTGAAGGCAGACACTTAACCAACTGAGCCACCCAGGTGCCAAAATGCAAGCTCAATATACATTTATGTAATATATAAATAAATATTTAGAAATATAAATATATATGTAGCAATATATAAATGTATATATAGCTTGCATCATGGTTATTACTTTCCTAGTCCTTGTATCAGAAAAATTCCTTTTAATACACCTTTCTCTAACCCTTTCCCACACTCTAGCACTTTCTTCCCTGCTCCTACCCAGTAACATGAATATAAAAAAGTGATGTAAACATAAGAATATATTGAAGCCTAGTCACGTATATGTTAATCGTATAGATTCTTTTTTTTAGAAAGATTTTATTTATTTGACAAAGAGAGACACAGCAAGAAAGGGAACACAAGCAGGGGGAGTAGGAGAGGGAGGAGCAGGCTTCCTGCCCAAGCAGGGAGCCCAATGTGGGGCTTGATCCCAGGACCCTGGGACCATGACCTGAGCCGAACGCAGATGCTTAACGACTGAGTTGCCCAGGTGCTCCAATCCTATAGATTCTCAGAGCTACAGTTAAGTTCATCCTTGACTTTTTCCCTAGGAAAAACTCAAATTCCTTTAAGCTCTCAATTTCTGGAAGTCTTTGTGAAATTTCTTTTCCCCAGAGAACTGTAGGGTTCAAATCTGTGTATGACTTCCTAATTAAACTATAGTTGGGGTGACCACACAATGTATTGTCCAACCTAGGGCATTTCTGAGCGAAAGACAACTCTACCAATAATTGTGCCGGGACAGGGGGACAGATACGCACTGTAACTACCATCAGTGCTTCAGTGAGAAGAATACCTTCTAGTTTTCAATGGAGATGTTGGTGTTCAAGTTCCAACAACAAATTAAAAGGCAGAGGAGACAAAATTTCAAACAATAAAAATTCCGCCTCATATCCCCACCTGGAGAAAACAGACGCTAAGGACCATGAAATTTAAATATTTATTTTTAAATCCCCCACAACACTGGAGTATGCTTCACCTAGACACAGTTTATAGAACTAATAACTCTAATGAATAAGCAATATGATTCCTATCCATGATGCAGCTGTGTTGTAAAGTTTCAAATAATCCATTTATAAATTCACTGCTTTTGTTTTTACAAAAATATTCATTTAACCCACGATATGAGTTGCAAAATTATTTCTAGACCTCTAATAGATTACGAACTGAAACTGCATTTCAGTCACATAGAAGGTGAAAATTTCAACTGAACCATTACTTCAAAATACAATGTATTAAAAGTAATTGTTACAGTATCGGCACCAATGAAAAGAACTTTCTTGGCATATGACATGACCACGACTTACTCAAGTGTCTGAATTATTACAGAAAGAGAAGAGGTAATGGCCACTTTGAGTAAAAACGGTATTCTCTACTTGAAGAACACCTTTCTTCTAATATTTGGCAATTATTCAGATTTTTAGAAATGACTTCGGTGCAAAAACCAAACTGTGCAGATCCAAACAACAAAACGTTAACTACCAAAACTAATTAATATCAATAATTCTACAACTACTGAAATATAGCCCCAGTTCGGAACTTAGGCAGGCGTAATATATATACTGGGCTTTAAAGAAAAAAGGTATTACCCATGTAACAGTACCATAAATATAACTGAAAATTAACTGTACAGTCTAACAACTTCTCTATGGACATAGGTCATCCTGTACTATGGTTATTTTCATATGAACTAGAAAATGCTTATTTAAATAACCTTTCAAAAATGAACAAATGATGCTTTTTGTACTGGATAATTACGAAGAACAAAAATGTATAAATAGTTTATAGGACACTTCACTACCATGACGATAATATGCTGGTGTCTAAGGTATATTCATACCTGTTGATCAGGTACTTAATCACATGAATAACAGCTCTTACTTAAGCTCCCCAAATCCAAGCATATAGTATGTGATATGAGTTGAAGACTTTAAAAATGAAGCCTGACAAATTCCTCCAGGATTGCCAAAAACCCATCCTTGGTTAATTAGTATTGCTTGAAGTTTCCAACCATGTTAAATAAGGGTTAACTGCCTCTTCTGCAAGAGAAGGTCAATACTACACACCAAGAGGTACCTCCGCTGCTACATGTCGCCTAGACATGCTTCAAACACAGGGCTCTCAAATGCGATCATCACTGAGCTGCCTGGAAAATCAACCCAAGTTGGTAGAGGGAGTCAATACTTTTCAGGTTTCATTTCCAAGAGCTTATTAAAAACTTCAGTTTTAAGAAAATATGACTTGTTTCTACCTCCCCACCAATAGTCATTTTTAGAATATGCTTGTGTTTTTTTTTAAGAGTTTTGATGCTTGATGACTTGCAAACATTCGGTATTTAGGATGACTTTGAAAGACCTGTACGTTTCATGAGTGTACAGTTAACTAAAGATCAAAACTTGAAAGGTATTCATCCTAGTAACTTAAGTAATAATGATACCTAAAAGCAAAACTGTATCTCAACATTTAGTAGAATACAGGTGAAACTATAGTATTAAAAGTTATTCCTTACAAAATAATCTCTTTAAAATATAAAATGATAAACACCATCACAAAATAGTTGAAGAGCTTCTTCCAAATCTTCAATGTTGCAAAGATCCAAAAGGCACATGGAGCTCATGAGTTAAGCACTGTTAAGCTTGAAGTAGCTTTGGTGGGTTTCTCTGGGTCCGTATGAAATAGAAGCCAGTAAGAAGTTCCTTAGGGGGATTCATCTGCTGAACACCTATAAAATGAAGAAAAACTTAAACCTATATACAAATACACATTTGTATTTCTCATCTGTATGAACTCTGCAATAAAGGTACTGATTCAGCAAACTAAATTCTTTTACTGAATCTTATCAGGTAGATGTTAAAATATAAAGAAGTTCAAAAATCTCTTCTGTGGAGCACCTGGGTGGCTCAGGTGGTTAAGTGTCTGACTCCTGATCCTAGCTCAGGTCTTGATCTCACGGTTGTGAGTTCAGGCTCCGTGTGGGGCCCACTTAAAAACAAAATCCCTTCCGTTTCTGATTTGACAAATTCCAACTGACTTATCTAAGGGATTTTGAAGGGGAGCTCTAGTGTATGAGGACACATGGGCTTCATCAGATAGAAGCTCTATCAGAATGTGTGATTTTATAGGCCGTATAGTTTGTTCCAACTTGATCCCAGTGGCATCACAAATACAAGCAAGTAGAAAGATGCACTGAGAAGCAATATATAATGGGACTGAGACTAGAATTAGGGTTGCTTTATTCCGTTGGAGCTAAGGAAGTGTATGTATGTTTGTGCTTGCAAACAGAAGTCTGGTTTCAAAAGAGAACTTAAAAATTAAATGTATGAACTTTACTGAATGGGAACAAAGTTAAACCAACAATTTGAGACCGTGTGGAAAACTAAAGTCAATCATACGAACCTTTTGTAGGCTGTACTGACTTCCTCTACTTACAATCCTTCCCTTTTCTTATGGGGGCTAAATGTAAGAACTTCAGCACTGGAAACTACGTGAATAGTAGTGTGATGAGGGTACTGGCAAGAATGAAAGCATTCCTAAATGGTATTTATAAGGGCCCAAATAAAAATACGCTCCGTGACCTTTTGTCTGTACCCCTACTAGCGGGCAAACTAGCGGGCAAAGGAGAAAAAAAACAAAAC